AATTTCCCCCTGACCCGCCGACAGAGGCTGGTATCTGCTGGCTCCTGGTTTTCAGCAGCCATGGATGCATCCTTGCTTTCTCGTGGTGGTCTTGTCTACGGAGCTGTCTTTGGGGTGGGTATGTGCAGGACCAAGCCCGCTGGGGCTGTAATTGCGGCTGGGATTGTTGCACACCAGAGGATTAGGATCAGGAGAGAGCTGTGAGCTGCGTTCACTCCTGCTGCAGCTGTCAGCCCTAGAGCAAACTGGGTCACAGACATCTTTTTAGGTCCAAAGCTACGAGGTGTTGCTGTGCCATTGCCTGAGATCTGGCAGGAGGTGAATTTGGGGTCCCGGGGTGCGAGTCTCTGCCCCACACAGCCGATGAATAGCATCAAGATGTCTTTCATTATAAGACCCCAACCATATTAAGAGCTCCCTTACTCCAAATGCTATTACAAGTGAGCAAGATGTAAACAACGTTTGCAGAAACACATCTGAATTTTAAGGACATGCAGCATTTTTTCTTTTATGTCCTTATTTCTCCAGCTCATTTGTGTTGTTGGGCAGAAAATAAGGAAGGGTTTAGTGTAGTGGGCACAGCCCAGAGAGTGGGAGGAGGTGGCGAGATAGTGACATGCACGCTAGTGATTTAACATGAAATACTCCGATTGCGAAGAGTCTCTGGAGGTTTGTGCCTCATTGATGAATATCATGCACGAAGCGTAGCTCCTTGCGCTACCCACAGTTTTCTCTTCCAGGTATGTTGATTGGGAACCTGAGTCACGGGAAATATGCTGAGTTACAGCACATTTCCACAAAAAAAACCCCAACCCAAATCACAGGCATATTTATCTGTGACTGTGTCAAACGCACAATATGTTCAGACAAGACAGGCTCAAAAGATTAACAGCCCTTAATCCTACCCCTGTGCATTAACACACAACAGACGATACACACAGGCTCACATCTCTAAGGACCGATGTACGTACACAAAAGGCAACCTTCCCCATCAAAACATACCTGAGCTGTTCAGCTTTTGGAAACACAACAGGCATTCACTCACCTGGAAGACCAAACTGGACCCGCCTGCTTCTTCGGCTTGGCGATCTGCTTCTGGTACTCCATCCAGCCACTCACCAGCTCGTGAAGGATCATCACGTAGAGAAGGAAAATCAGAATCCTGGGATC